TCGCGGGAGGAGATCAAAGCCTGTTTCCGCTTCTTCCGAAGCGGAATCACGCCAACCTAACACTCCCTTTTAGGCGCTGCTGCCTGCTTGTCCCCCCCCCTCGCTGGGGAGCGATGCGCTGGGCTAGAAACTGCCCAAACTGTCAAAAGCAGCTGTCGCCCACTTCGCACAAAAGTGAAAGTGCGTCAGTCCTCCATCTTGGCTCGACCGGAAGCCCCAGAACCCAGTTTTTAACAGCGGATAATATCATTTATAATAAATACAATTAGAATTTAAAATTTAAAACACAGAACAATATAAAACACTAAAATTAGTAGTTACAACTAAAACAGAGATTCAGCTGGCTATAAAGGGTTCTGGCCCATTGATATGGATGGAATAGTAGCCAGCTATCAGTGGGTAGATGACAGTAACCTCAGAGAGGCCATGTATGGGCGCCCTCTGCCTCAGCCAAAGGTCTGGTGGAAAAGCTCCGTCTTGCAGGCCCTGCGGAACTGAAGAAGATCCCACAGGGCCCTGATCTCAGTAGGGAGTATGTTCCACCAGGCTGGGGCCAGGTCAGTGAAAGCCCTGGCCCTGGTTGAGGCAAGACAGACGTCCCTCGGGCCAGGGACCACCAGGAGGTGTTGATCTTTAGAGTGTAGCGCTCTCCAGGACATATACAGGAAGAGGCGGTCCCTTAGATATGTTGGTCCCAGGCCGTGTAAGGCTTTGAGGGTCATTACCAACACCTTGAAGTAAATCCAGTACTCAACTGGCAGCCAATGCAGTTGGCGACACACAAGCCAAACGTGAGCCCGCACAGGTGTCAATGTCAGCAAGCATGCCACAATTTCCAGGTCAGCCTCAAGGGCAAGCCTGCTAGAGTGAATTGCAGTAATCAAGCTTGGAAGTGACCATTGCATGGGTCACTGTAGCCAAGTCCTGGGGGGAGAGATAGGGCTTCAGTGACCTAATCTGCCTAAGATGGAAAAATGCAGATCTGACAACTGCTGCAACCTGGGCCTCCATAGAGAGAAAGGCATCCAGTGTTACTCCCAGGCTCCTCACTGTCTGGGCCAGCACTAAAGGCGCCTCTTCTGGTGTGGGTAGCCTGGTGCCCACATCTATCCCCCCCCGAATCAGGTACAGGACCTCCGTCTTTGATGGATTTAACTTCAACCGACTCTGCCGCAACCAACCACAGTGTCCAATGCCTCAGCCAAATTTTCAGGCATATTGATATCAACCCAGCCCATAGCTCCGGACTAACTGGGTGAGGGGGCACATATAGATGTTAATTAATATTGGTGAGGGGATTGCCCCCATGGCACTCCACATTCCACTGGATATTGTGGAGAGACCCTCTCGCCAAGCGCCACCCTCTGTCCCTGACCATGGAGAAAGGAGGAAAACCATTTCAAGGTAGTCCCCTGAAGCCCTGCATCAGCGAAGCGGTGGGTTAACAGGTCATAGTCGACTATATTGAATGCTGCCATTAGATCTAATAACAACAGCAGTGCCGATCCGTCCCGATCCAGATCTCTATGGAGATCATCTGTAAGGGCAACTAGAGCCGTCTCCATCCCATGGTCAGGGCGAAAACCGGACTGGAAGGGATCAAGGATGGAAATGTAATCCAGGAAAGCCTGGAGTTGTTCAGCCACCTTACCCATGAACAGTAAATTCAATACTGGGCGGTAGTTGGTCAGGACCGTAGGGTCCAGTGATGGCTTTTCCAAGAGTGGGCAAACCACTGCCTCCTTCAGAGCCTCCGGGAAAGTCCCAGTAGAAATGGATAGACTGGGGATTTCTCCCAGAGAGACCCGAATGCTCTCCCCACAGGCTTTCACCAGCCAGAAAGAGTATGGGTCAAAGAGGCAGGTAGTAGGCCTCATCACTACCAGGAGCCTGTCAACTTCCTCCCGGGAGAGTCGATTGAAGTGGTCCAATATTGGACCAGAAGATGGACAAAGGGCTTCCAGTTCCCTTACTGTCTCAACAGTGATCGGGAGGTCCTGGCGAAGTGTCATGATCTTATCTGTGAAATAGCTCGCAAATGCCTCATAGCCAATAGCCAATTCCCTACTACTTGATCTGCCCCGTGGCAGAGTCTTAATAGACCAAATAATTCTAAGTAACTGAGCCAGGCGCAAGCTCACAGATGCAATGGAGGCCGCATAGAAATCCTTTTTTGTGACCTTCACTGCCATCTCATAGGCTTTCATAAACGTCCTATGGGTTGTTCGTGACACCTCGTCACGAGTATGCTGCCACTTCTGCTCTAGCTGTCTTCGATCTTGCTTCATCCTCCACTGCTCCATGGTATACCACAGTGCTGCTTTGGTGCGAGGGTGTAGAGGATGCCGGGGGGGTGATCTTGTCAATGGCTTCAGAGAGCTGGATATCCCAGTCCTCTACCAGCTCATCCAACGAGCCACCAGGGGGCATTGGATCCCGCAGAACTTCCTGAAGCCAACTAGGGTCCATTTGGCTCCACGGGTGAGCATAAATACACTCGCCGCCTAAACGGGGAAGGCATGGCATGCTCAGCCGGACCTTCAGGGCGAAGTGGTGAGACCATGGAACTACATTCATAGTTATCAGATCCACACATATCCCCATCCCCAAAATCAAATCCAGCATGTTGCCTGCTTGGTGCGTGGGAGTCGCTACAAACTGGGAGAGGTCCAGTGCTTCCCCTAGCCTGGGAAGATGCTGCATCATCGGCATGGACATTGAAGTCACCCAGGACCAAGAGTCTGGGATATTCCAATGTCCAGCCTGATACAGCATCTAACAGGGTATCTGCCAGTGCGTTAGGCAGTCAGTACACCAGCCAGATAACCAAACTCTCCTCAACATCACATGCTAGGTCAACACATTCAAAGCTGGAGATTGTCGGGGCAGGGAGTGACCTGAAGCAACAAAATTCATGGATAAGCAAAGCCATCCCCCCCCCCGCCCATACATCCGAGACTGGTGAAAGACTGAGAACCCTAGAAAGTATTCCAAGAATTTGGAAGTGGCACAAGCCACTCTCCCTCCCATAAATACAGTGTGGGTGTGGGTTGAGAGGCTCAACTCAATCCTACATCTGCCTACCTTTTGCATCAGGACTTATCCATGCCATGCTGGGATATCATCCCGTCACAGAAGCACAGGCAGGACTTGACACAAAAAGTAGATGGGGTTAGGTAAACCAGCTATTATGTGAAGATCTTCACACAAAAGCTGGACAGTCATCTGTTGGTCATGATCCAGCTTTGGATCTCCCTCACTGAGTAGGGATTGGAATAGATGGCTTCTAAGGTCCCCTTTGACTCTGGGGATCCTCACTTCCATGGTGAGAGCAAGCTTAACACATTTACTGGAGAATTCTGGTGCAGTTCTCGGCTAAAGAACTTCCCAAATCTTGGCAGATATGGCCATCCCCCCCCCCCACCGGACTATGAACTTTAAAAAAAAGTTCTCATAAGCAAAGTGCTCTTCTCCCTTTCTTGAATGTTTATGAATTTGTAATTTATATAGAACACTTATTATTCATTATTAATATTCTATTATTTGTGTATATAGCACATGCAGGGTGGGAAGTCAGCATGGTATAACCCGATCTCATCAGATCCCAGAAGCTAAACAGGCGACCACCAAGAACAACTCTGTAGAGGAAGATAATAGCAAACCACCTTTGCGTCTCACTTGCTTTGAAAGCCCCTTGCTGGGATTGCCATAAATCAGCTGTGACTTAACAGCACTGTACACACACATAGCACATGTAATGTACAACACAATTTACAAAAATATTTGGCTTGTTAATTGTACTGGCTTTATAACACTTATCGTGAGATTGTCCAATTGTATCTGGCATAAGAAGAACAGGCTTTACTTGTGACAAGCACAGATTGTAAAATACTAGGCAAATGTGGGCATTTTTTTTTAAAAAAATGTCCAACAATGGTATTTCTCATAGACTATATGACACTTGAAGCTTCCTGCAGGATTTCAGCATTCAAAAAGGCATACTAAGATCATAATGCTGAATTCTGATGTAAAAGAACTCATTACTGCCTCACCTGTGGCAAGTAATACTACACTGCTTTGTGTGGACAAAAGTGCTATTAACGCAGTCTAAATGTTCACTGTTGTGTGATTTAGTTTTTGTTTGTTTTTTACCATGTCTGGATTTACTCAGAGTGCATTTATTACAGAACCAAACACCATCACAGATAGGCTTAACAGAACTCATTTGTGGATTTTGACTGATGAACCAGATGGTTTTGCTAGTTTTTACACTTGTTGAAAGGTCCAAAAGAGTGTAATTATTTAATGACATAAGCAGTTGAATTAAGCAAAAAGTTAACTCTTTAGTATTATAAACCACTAGAACACAAGTTGTCATCATCACTTCTCAAAGTAAACAAAAGATCTATCCAAATGAGCATGCTCTACTTCTTTGACTATACTGTTCTTGTAAATACACTGGCCCAAATCCAAAGAGTTACTTTAGGTATGTTTAAGACGTTGCAAGTTTCTCATATGATTTTATACTTTGCACACAAGAACTCAAAAGTCTTATCGCAAGCTACTTTTCAAAAGCACACTGCAACATGAGGGCTCCGGAACACTACTCCAGAACTGTAGATCTTCTAAGGCCTCCCATTGACTGACTAGAAAGAGATACACAGTTCACTGGAAACTGGCCTTGCGGCTGTTACAATACCCAGCAGTCAATTCTGATCATCAAAGACATTTTACTCAGATTGATCCGAGTCTGCAAGGCCTACTTCCAGTCAAATGTGTGCAATGGACAAGATCTTACGGCATAACATAGATCTTACTGCATAGGCAAATACTGCCACTTGGAAAGTTGAAAAGGCACTGAATTGCATGCACTGGTCACTGTATGTGTTCTAGTATTTACTGAACATAGTATAAAAACGAAAGCTTTGCTGCCTCCTTTTATTCCAAAAGCAACACTCAGTGCTTAAGCAGGTTAAAATTAAATGTGAGAATATACTTACCACAACGGCCGTCTTTCTCCACGCATTAAATGGTAACTACATCTCAGAGGCAGATTTGTCACAGGAGGAATATTATTATAAACGCTCCAGAAAATCTAAAGAGAATGATAACGGTGTTATAAATCCACATACGACGGAGAACAGAACAATGTTTCCCTTTTTTGGCTTGGGACGCGGCACTGGAAATATCTCGTGCGCAAGCTCCTTTAAAGAGAATGGCAGCAGCACAAGGCATTAGAGCTATACCTTGGTGTGTTCCCATTCTTAAACAAAGTTCTGCAAAGGCAAGAAAGGAAGTAACTAGCCTGTAAGAAACCTTCTGTAATGTAGCACTTTCAGTGTCCTCATACGTGAGGTAAACTTGTGAGTTTTAACAAAACTTCTCCTTAATGCCTTCTTTGAAAGATCAACTAATTGTCCATCCTACCTAAATATAGGTGCTTTGATTTGAATTAATGAGATATACCGTTCATGTACCTCTACAGACTGCCCTGGCTGACTCTCAGTTTAGCAGATTGCAGTGAAGCCTAGTTTTTGGTGCTATAACTCAGCTAGATTTCAAACTTTTTAATTACAGAAATTTACAATTACACAGAAGAGGAAAAACCCACCCTGTATATAAAATCTTAATCCTGCTAAAACAGATCCGTATATTCTGATATTACCATCTCCAAGTTTGCATGTCACTCAAAAGCTGGCTCTCAGGCTTTGATTGCTGGAACAACAGTGCAGTGTAGGGAGTCCCAGCCTACTTTTCTGTTATGAGAGGAAATACAAGGTCCCCAAGAAAAGGACTTTTTGTGTATATGCTGACACAAGGTGGCCTGGATGACCCCTTCCAACTCTGTTATTCTATGTTTCTAAATAAGTGAGGCTTAGAATTTAAAAATGCTAAAACTAGTTATGTTCCACTTCAGAGGCAGTTTATGCTGATCCTGAAACATCTATCAGTGTTGGGGGTATTGGCCTCGACAACGACTGGCTGGTTTTATGCAGTACCTTCTATTTGGTTTGTCTCTCAGTGTTCAACTAGGCAGAAAGGTAAGCAATATAATCCCTGTGAAAGAATCTATTTAATTTTTAACTTAAGGTAAGATCTTGGATCACTGTGACTCTAACGTGAAAATAAGTTGTTCTAATTTGCAACATCTTAATTTTTTACCTGTACAGTTTGTACTGTATAGATCTTCTTTAAATTTGATGCACATTCAGCTGCTGTTGTACCAGGAAGAGACCTTTAAAAAAAGGTGGGTTGGGGAGAAAATATTAATTAAATAAGAAGTATGATAAATGTACTTATCAAACACTTTAAAATGTTAAATGTACATATATTATACGCACAATTTTAAATATAAAAAAACAATGCACATGAAAACTAGAAAAATCATTTCTAGTTATTTAAAACTGCTTTAAATATTTAAAAGAGCTTTAAATATTAAGATGTAGAAGAGGATTGCTACGTTGCCACTCACACTATGCACATTGATTAATAATGTTAAAGTGGCAAAGTAAACATTGTATCAAATAGGCATACGAGTATGCTTCCCTGGTGTGAAAGGATGCCACAGCTTTGATGAGTACTGATTTTATTCAAGGCTATTTGACTAATACATTCTTTGGGGGCAGCTGGAAAGGAACAATATAATTCAAACATTTTTATTTTTTTTAGGTTATACAGTTATGAAGGCTGAAATCTGACATAGGCTGCTTCAATCTGATTTAATTCAGTGGGATCTAAGCAGCCAGCTGTAAACAGGACAGCAGGTGAATGTGGAACAAGTCATCATGAGAGAAACGATGTATCTTCAAGTTGATTTTGTCCACAGCTACTCTTTTATGCAAATTAATTAGCAATCTTAAGTGATGGTTTGGCTTCATTATTAGTTTATCACAGCAATTTTAAAAAGTCTGTGTTTCCTGCTCAAGGATTACAAAACGTTCCGGTCATGCAAACATTTTAAATAATTTTTGTATTAATTTCAGACATAAACCACTAGATGGCAACATAGTACAAATCTAGCATGACCTCACATAATGACTTAAATCAAACAAATCCACACACTGGTTAAGAGAGGCTAGTTTAATCAGTAATCGTGATATTTTTATTTCAAGAGAAAATATTTGTTTTATTTATGGAAATGCTGAAACATATGGAAAGCCGCAAACCATGCACATATTTTTCCCTGCACTGACACAGTACAGCCCTGTTCAATCTCAACCACAAATACAGCCCCAAATGCTTTTTTTATAGACCAAGCCCATGGTAAAAGATAACCATGGTTATCTCCAGATAAACCATGCCACGTTTATGTGCATGATTCACTTGTGGACCTCCCCACAAGCATTCTGGACAACAGAGAGCCACTAACCCTGGTGCATATGAAATGCGCTTGATATGCAACATTAATCTTCACTGAGACTACAACTGGCAGGCAGTACTTCAAGATGAACTTCCTGAGCAAGGATGTACCACTATGATCAGTAGAAGTGTTGGATTTAGATTCAATTCTTGCTCAGCCAGCATGGTGTAGAGGTTAACAGTGGTGGACTCTAATCTGGAGAACCGGGTTTGACTACCCACTCCTTCAAATGAAGCCTGCTGGGTGACCTTGGGCCAGTCACAGTTCCCTCAGAACTCTCTCAGCCCCACCTACCTCATAAAGTGACTGCTGTGGGGAGGGGGAGGGAATGTGATCGTAAGCCACTTTTGATATAAAAACCTATTCTTCTTCTTGAGAGCTAGGGTGGTGTAGTGGTTAGAGAGACTAGGAACTGGGAGACCCAGGTTCAAATCTCCCCCTGCCATGGAAGGCTGCTGGGTGACCTTGGGCCAGACATACACTCTCAGCCTAACCCACCTCACAGGGTTGTTGTGAGGATAAAAAAGAACAACATAAGCTGTGCTGGGTCCCCTCTGGGAGAAAGGCGGGGAATAAATGAAGTAAATAAATAAAGCTAGTGAATTACAAATGTCAATAAGCATGCTTTTTACTGCTTAGCTGCCATTCCCCAATCTGTAAAAGGAGAACACTGCTGCTGTAAGAATAAAGAAGATAAAAATGTTCAAGACATCATAAATGTTCTACAGCAGTGAATAATGCTGGTACAAGTGACTCTCTTTGCGTCTTCAAAAAGAGTCATATCCTCAGGCTCCATAGACTACATTATCTTTCTTAGCAGAACAGCCAAGATGAATGTATATCTGAGCTATTTATCTGCTACTAACAGCAACTTCGTCATTCCCACACCAGTACAGACGGCAGAGATAATGCCTGTGTTCAATCTCTGCAAAGATTCTGCGTACTCCCTTTTTGGAATATTTGTGACACTGGGATGAGTTACATTCCTATAAAACAGCATATTTGTAAGAGCTGCCAGGGAGACGAGACCTGGATTTAGGGTCCCCCTCCCAAATAGGTGATGAGCAATGTCAACAGTGCCAGGCACGCACCACCCAGTGCTGCATGCGCAGTTCTCTGGACTGGGGTTCTTATTTTTAGTTCTTTATCTATGCAGTGGTAAGACATCCAATATATTTGTGGAAGGCATGAAGCTCTTAACTATCAAGCTGTTTTTAAAGTATGAGGGGAAGGCTTATTTTCAGTAATTTGTCTCACACAATATATGCCCTTTGTTGTACAGGGAACAGAGTGCTGCTGAATCGTCTTATGAGACTCTAAAGTAGAGACAAATCCATAGTCCAGCACCCCTCCCAGGTAAGGGAGCAGGGAACATATGCATAATAAAAGACACTGTGTTTTTAATACTTAATGGTCTAAGAGTCAAGACTCAAATCAGTTATCAGAGAATGTATGGGCATACTGTTTCAGATAATCTGCCTTAACCAACCCCAAAAACATATTGTTAGGCTTATTAAAATGAAAGGATACAGCTGAAAACACCACACTGCCAACTACAGTTTTAAGTTCTGTAGGGGGGGAAAGTGAAATTAAGTTGTATGAAACAGATCACAAAAGGAAAGTCAGTCTGGGGAAGTGGTCACAGTGTGGGACCCAAATTCAGATATCTACTCAGTCAGGAAGCTCAGTGGGTGACTTTCTTTCAGCCTAATTTACCTCACAAGGTTATTATAAAATGGGGAAGGAAGAACTATGCAACTCAGCCTGTGCTCCTTGGCAGAAAGGTAGGATATAAATGGACTAGGCAGATAGAAGCTCATACTTGGTTGTAAAAAGTAGCAAGATAATAAAGCTATGGATAATCTGGGGACAGTGGAGGGGACTGAGTCATTCTGTGGCATACAGGATTTTTAAACTGTTTCATAAGAATGACATTCTGCCACTGGATACAAATGGCACAAAAATACAGTTAAGAAGAAGAAGAAGAGAAGAAGAAGAGATTGGATTTATACCCTGCCCTTCACTTGGAGTCTCAGAGCGGTTTACAAACTCCTTTCCCTTCCCCTCCCCACAACAGACACCCTGTGAGGTGGGTGGGGCTGAGAGAACTCTGACAGAAACTGCTCTTTTTCAAGGACAGCTGTGCCAGAGCTTGTGACTGACCCAAGGTCACATCAGCAGGTGCAAGTGGAGGAGTGGGGAATCAAACCCGGTTCTCCCAGATTAGAGTCCGCACACTTAACCACTACACCAAACAGTGTTACTTGGGTCAGTTGAGTGGCTTATCATCATCAGTAGCCTGACTCAACAAGACTCTACTTCAGAGCAAGAGGTTTTGAATTTAACCCTACTAAGTTTTCCCATATCTAAATGCACAAAGTAAACTCCCTCATTTAACAACCTTCACACTTGTTCTTGGCCCTGACAGATAATGTCAGCATCCAGCTCTGACCGTTCTAGTCTTTAGGCAACTAGCCTAGAAAATTATTTTCCAGTAGCACCTGACATCATTTAAGCTTTGTTTACTGGATGTTTTTTGTTCTCCTCTGAGCCTTTGGCAGTTATAACATCATTATTTTCTTTTAGCTGATTGATTTAAATTGTTTTTATTCTTGTAGATCAGTTAGCCAAAAAGAGAGAGCAAGAGATAAGCATTTAACACTGCAATTCTAAACACAGTTACACCCTTGTAAGCCCATTGACTATGGCTTGGATCCAATGTCTTAATCTTTTTCTTAAATGGCACTTCCTCTGATGGAGAAAAGATGTCCTGTATCTAACAGAGGAAGCAGAAGAAAGCCACTGGATCTAACCCTGTATCTCCTTCAGATGATGTTATGGAACACACAATGGATGCACTGTACAACCTATACGCCTCCTCTCTTCCCATCTCTTATTAAAGTAGTGGCCTGAAACACATTGATGCATAATGAGCTTCATTCTATTCACAGTAGATAAAAAAGGAGTTCTTCTGCTGCACAAGAACTCATAAGTACACCTTAGCACTGGTACTCAGACATTTATTGCCTCTGTAGATGGAAGTTCCCTTTAGTTAACATGGTTGGTAGCCATTGATGGAACTCTCCTCCATGAATCTGTCCAACCCCCTTTTGAAATGACCTATGCTTGTGGCCATCATTAGTTCCACGGGTAAATTACTTGTTGACTAAAATAGTATTTCCTTTTGTTTGTCCTGAACCTATTTCCCAACAAACTCATTGGGTATCCCTGAGTAGGGATGGGCACAAACTGGCTCACATGCCAAAATTCAGGCCAAACTTGGGCCAGTTCAGATCCCAGGAACCCAGGGAAGGAACCTTCCCCAAACATTTACCGGACTTTTGGCCGGTTTGGTTGTTTGGGCCAGCCATTTAAACCTAACAGCTGAGTTGGTCCACAGCTGGGAGAAAGGTGGAAGGAAAGTCCCTTTCAGGACGGTTTCCACCCCCTTTCTCCCAGCCGCAGCTGGGAGAAAGGGGGAACTGAACTTGCTGGACCAGCTCAGTTTGGATGGAGGCCGTTTGGGTTGGGTCAGTTTGAGGTTCGGTTTGTGGGCCGCCCCGAACTGCCGTTTTTATCTTTGTGCCCATCCCTACCCCTGAGTACCAGCATTACAGGGAGAAAAGCTCTCGCTATCCATTTTCTTCTTTCCTCTTTGCATTATTTTATAAACCAATATCATGTCCTCCCACCAGCTGCCCTTTTTTCTCAAGTAAAAAGTCCCAGACTCTCCAGCCTTTCCTCATAGAAAAGGTGCTCAAATCTCTTGATCATCCTGGTTGCCCTCTCCTGTACTTTTCCCAGCTCTTTATGATAACCCAACATGTTTCAAGAGACATGAACAGCATGTTATCTGATGGTTCATCACGTTTCAG